TCGGTGCAATCGTGCGGCGCTTTTCCGTGATTCTGCGCGTGTCCAACTCCCCACCTCTGCTTCTACACTCGAGGAAGAAAAAGCAACTCCCGATTGGAAGTTGTGGAATTTTCTCAGCCCCCGCCGAGGCGCAGAGATCTGCCTCCCTGGCCCGCCTCCCGCCAGCTCGCCGGTGGTGCCACGGACCGCAGCCCCTCGCCCGCAGCTGGGGCTGTCCGCCCCCTTTGCCCTCCCCTTTTCCCAGTGAATTTGGTGAACCAGCTCGAGTCCAGGGAGTCTGTCCTCGCCAGGCCATCCGTCGCGGAACTGGGGAGCGGAGAGCAAAGGGAGGGATCGTGGAAGGGAAAGGAGGCAGGGGTGGTGCAAACGTGTCCAACTTGGGGGTCGCACGGTGAGTGAGAGCCGCAGCTGCGGGTGGAGGTGGGGACCCCAGAGGGGGCGCCGCGCTGGGTAGGTCCGACTGCGCGGGCTTCTAAGCCGGCAGGCAGCGGAGAGACCGTGGACGCTGTGCCTTGCTCCCTCGCCAGGGAAACTTCGCGTCCAGCCCTCTGACCTGCAGGACCACCGTCCCCGCAGCCTCCGCACCTGTTTCCTTCTCTCTGAGGGAGGGATTTGCCCCGTCCCCGCGCCCCCTCCTCCGATCCTCCCATCCTCACCCGCCCACCCCGGTGGCCCCGAGCGGCGCAGCGCAGCGCCCCAGAGAGCTGGCCGGAGAGGTCGGCGGCCGCGCGAGCCCGCCAGCCCCCTCGCCGCTCCGGCTCCTCCCGGGGCTCGCGTGGCGCAGGCTGTCCCGGACTGCTGAGCGGCAGAACTGGACTTGCCTTTGGTACCTTCCAGTGCCCTCTCTGGGTCGGCTGGCTAATAACCATCGGACTGACCGGCTGTGCACGTCTTGCTTCCACGTCTCAGCAGAAACGCCAGGGCCAGAACGCCAGGGCCAGGTCAGTAAGCGTAACTCCCGACTCCGACTCCGATTCACCTTCTGGGACAGGAGTATCTCAACAGGAGCTCTCGGGTCCTTTGACGGGGGCATGGAGGAGGTCCTCGTGAGTGCACGGACCCTGCTCCCTCCTTTAGGAGAAAGGGGTTTGGGGGTGATAACATCCCCATTTTCTACTTTTTCGCTAGATTTCCTTTTTTTCTCCTGAAGATTATTGACTGTTTCCTTGACCCTTCTTAGAGCTAGGTCATTATCTTTCCAGCACAGTAAGTTGTTACTGTTCCCCCTGCCTCTTTTTTAAAAAATCAAACACCTGTCTAAAGTAGAAGATGGTATTGGATTCTTGAAAGCTGTTAAAAGAATAGACACATTTATTTAAGCATTCACTCATGTTTTACCAGACGGGTTCACCCACTGGTAGGAACATATGGTGGACGGGAAAGAGGCAAAACTAAAAGCTTTGAGACTTTGCAATAGAGACACACGGTTTAAAACTCCATAACATGAAATAGACAATGCTGTTTTCAAAGAAAGGCCAGAAAAAGAGACTTCCCTGACTCGTTTTTTCAACTTTCTACTTATTAGGCAAACAATCATGTCTTGTATGTAGCATTCTTGAAAGTTCCCTTCTCCTCCACCCCCAACCCCTGTAGGACTGACAAGTGTAGGCAAGTGTAGGACTTATGACATGATTTCTGAGATTTTTTACCTGGGAAAAAATTCCCGGAAGATGTTATACTAAGGTCAACCTGTGACAATATTGTTACAAAAAACCCCACAGTTTTAAATATATACTCAGAGCATGAACTAGTCTTTGAACTCAGATAATTTGATGTTATTTGAATCTGAGGGGGGGCACAGTAAACACCCCAAAACTTTTCCTGTTCTACAAATAAATATTTCTATTAGAAAATTCCTAAAGATTTACTTGTTCAAGAAAACTGTACCAGTCATAGTTCTCATTAAATGTCTTAAGTAATGTAAACATCTCATTCCAATGATGTAAATATCTCATTTCAAGGAAAGGGTTTTCCCTTTTCTATGATTTACTTTGCTTTTGAGTTTTTAATGTGGCAACTTCCTCTGTCTACTCTTTTCCTCTTCCACTTTTCTAGAAGTGCTGCCATAAAAAAATGACCCATTTTCTACTCTGGGTAATGCTTTGACCTGGACGAACATTAGTGTGCTTAAGAACAGCTAATAGTGTCCATATGCTAATAGCGTGTAGATCAATAGCCATTCCTGCAGAGAAGTCTTAAATAAAAGGGCTTGGAAATTTCAAAAGTAGGACTAGGACCAAAAAAAAAAACCCAAAATAAGTCAATAAATCAAGTACGCCCCATACTCCTCCTCCTAATATCCTTCAATCTTATGTTTACTCTCATTTTAGTCTGCTACTACCTCCAAACTCTGACATCTTGGAGGCTCATTAATTCTGTTAGTGGCTTGTCAAGGTAGACTTAATTGTACTCTGTAAAATCAGTCTATTCTATAGTCTAAGGGAAATGGTACAGCTAACCAAATATACACTCCAAGATTTAGATGGTGCCTTTCAGTTTTTTCTAATTACTAAGGAATGGAGGCAAATGTGAACAAAGGCTCGAACTCCTTGGAAAACTTTAGTTGAAATTTATGTAGAGGGAACTAGAATATAGCAGTGTAGCAAATACTTCAGTACATGCAGACTCCTGTGCCCCTCTGTGTAGTAGGCTCCTATGGAACAATTTTCTTGTATAAGCAGTTATCTAATTAAGAACAACATATATATATATATGTGGAGGCAACAAATATATATATGGATGTTATGTCATAGCAAATAATCCTTATAGGCAGTTATCTCCAGTAAAGGATCAAAATTATACTTCATATTTTGCTGACACCAATTATTCAGTAAAAGTGTGCGTTCTTTTAGTTTCATATTTGTTTTGCCAAATGTTGAGTACCTTTAATGTGCTAGATAGCATGCTATGGATTAAACAATGGATGAAGAAAATCCAGGTTCTGTCCTCAAAGAGAGTGGTGCTGTGGTGGGGGGAAGGAAGGAAAGCAGTGCCATGTGGTACGTGCAGCATTAGAAGTGAGCACAGGTTATAGGAGTAGCTGGGAGGCTTCCAGTTTAGAACATGAAGGGCAGAGAGGAATGGGAGAGGCTGAGGTTTTGTTGGCATTGGGAGCAGTGAAGTATGACAGAGGCAGAAGATATATATTGGAATGTCAGGAGAGATGGGTATGCAGAAGGGTATGCAGGGATGAGTTCAAGAAAAGCCTTGAATGTCATATTAAGGAGTTGGGATTTTTTTCTGTAGGCCAGTGTTATCAACCTGTGAAGGCAGATGTTTTACTGGAAGAACAAATAAATGAAAGCATATATGCATATCATTATCGGTGTATGCAAAATAGAATCTATTCGAGAAGATAAAACAGGAGGAATCTAATGCAGAGAATGGTTACACAAGTGATGGAAGCCAAACAAGGGATGTTGGGACTATCCACGGATTAGCAAGAGCACAGGGAAGTGACAGTGTAACCAAAGCCCAGGGGCCAGGGACATCCACTGGAAACAGAATCACAGGGGTCTGTCCCTTGGAAACCAGAGTGTGGAAATGCTGCTAAACAGAGAGAGGGAGAAGAATATAGAGGATTCTCCCTTCCTCTTTCCCTCCACCTACCTACCAGTGATTGTCATTGACCAAAACCAGCCAGAGCCCTGAACACTTGGGAACCTGAAAATGTCGTCTGTGAGAGTCAGCCGTCTTGTGGTGGAGAGCAGGACAGAGCGGGGGAAGGGTGAGGAACAGAGCTGGGGGTGCACAGGCCCAGCCCAACATTGTCTGTGGGCTGAAGAAATGCGACTCGCCTACCAATGGAGGTGGATGGTATTATGGTTAATATTAATGAAAACATTCACTCAAAAGAGGTTCTGGATTAATAGCAGCAGCATTTTGTGATTATGAATATATTCAAAAGGTACTACCACTATGATATTAGGCTCTGTATGCTTTTATAGACTGAAAAAGGAACCTTATATTAGAAAACAATATATTAATATTATATTGTTTTAGGCAATCTGGAGACATTGAAGAAAATAATATGATCACATTTGAATTTCAGAAAAAAACATTTTAATGTCAGAATAGGCTCTGTCTGGTAAAATGGAAGAGACTTAGAGGTACAATCCTCTTATCTTTTTGCCCAACACAAATCCTAGTTCATGACATAGGTTTTTAAATGCTCGATGAATGCATGCTTGTGTAAATGTAAGTACCGTGATGGTAAAGTCATGCCTGGCATCTAGTAGATGCTCCATTATATCTGTTAAGTGAATGAACAAACAAATAAATGGGAGCAAAAGAGGAAGGGAGGCAAGTTGGAAGACTATTAGAGTTATTATGGTAAGAAATTACGAAGAACAAAACCATTGTGGTAGAAATGATGAGAAGACTGTTGGAGGAGATGTGTAAAAGACTACTCTGTGGGGGCTAAAGGAGATTTCGAGAAAGCATAGAATGCTGTATATTAGTTAAGAAGTTTATTTCAGATCATTCAAAAAAGCAACTGTTCTGCACAAGCTACCTATTTTTAATAGTAACCCCTGCACTAGAAAAAATGACCATGAAACAGAATCTGTTTATTTTAGATGTTTTATACTTCTAAAATTCAGTCACCAGGCAAATGGGTTTAATATTTGTTCCTTTCCCATACAATTTGATGTTGTATATTTACAAATTTAAAACAGTCAAGATATTGAGGGAAATTTTCCTTTTTTAATCTACTTTAAAAATAATTTGATGAATTTATAGCAGTTATAACATTGATAAAGTTTATAATATTCATCCCACTTGAATGTTTGATAGTATTCACATTGGAATTATTATACCCCTCCATCGTAGTATACATTTCCTGATTTAATTGATCCATGTTTGTGAATAGACTTATTAAAGGATCTGTTTTATTAAAATGTTATATTAGGGATCCAAGGACAGGTGTTTTGAGCCCCAACCAAAATCGAAGCAGTCAATTTGTGATATGTCTTTGCTTCACATTTGTGATTTCCTTGTTCTATATTTGTTCTTTTTTTTTAATTGTAGATTCTCGTGCTAGTTGCAGGCCAAGTGAAACTGCACTGAAAATGGGCCCAGTAGGTGCAGAGGCTGATGAGAACCAGACAGTGGAAGAAGTGAAGGTGGAGCAATATGGACCAGGGCAAACCACTCCTAGAGGTGAACTGGTCCCTGACCCTGAGCCAGAGCTTATAGATAGCACCAAGCTGATCGAGGTACAGGTTGTCCTCATATTGGCCTATTGCTCCATCATCTTGCTTGGGGTAATTGGTAACTCCTTGGTGATCCATGTAGTGATTAAATTCAAGAGCATGCGCACCGTAACCAACTTTTTCATTGCCAATCTGGCCGTGGCGGATCTTTTGGTGAACACCCTGTGCCTGCCATTCACTCTTACCTACACTTTAATGGGGGAGTGGAAAATGGGTCCTGTCCTGTGCCACCTGGTGCCCTATGCCCAGGGCCTGGCAGTACAAGTGTCCACAATCACCTTGACAGTAATTGCCCTGGACCGGCATCGGTGCATCGTCTACCACCTGGAGAGCAAGATCTCCAAGCGAATTAGCTTCCTGATTATTGGCTTGGCCTGGGGCACCAGTGCCCTGCTGGCAAGTCCCCTGGCCATCTTCCGGGAGTATTCGCTGATCGAGATCATTCCGGACTTTGAGATTGTGGCCTGCACGGAGAAATGGCCTGGTGAGGAGAAGAGCATCTATGGCACTGTCTATAGTCTTTCCTCCTTGTTGCTTCTGTACGTTTTGCCTCTGGGCATCATATCTTTTTCCTACACTCGAATCTGGAATAAACTGAAGAACCATGTCAGCCCTGGAGCCGCCAGTGACCACTACCATCAACGAAGGCAGAAAACCACCAAAATGCTGGTGTGCGTGGTGGTGGTATTTGCCGTGAGCTGGCTGCCTCTCCATGCCTTCCAACTTGCGGTGGACATTGACAGTCAGGTCCTAGACCTGAAGGAGTACAAACTTATCTTCACAGTGTTCCACATCATCGCCATGTGCTCCACCTTCGCCAACCCCCTTCTGTATGGTTGGATGAACAGCAACTACAGAAAGGCCTTCCTCTCGGCCTTCCGCTGTGAGCAGCACTTGGACGCCATTCACTCGGAGGTGTCCGTGACATTCAAGGCTAAAAAGAACCTGGAAGTCAAAAAGAACAGTGACCCCAATGACTCTTTCACAGAGGCTACCAATGTCTAGGGAAACTGGGGTGTGAAGGCACATGGATGAATTCTGACCAGAGCTTTAAATCTGGTTGATGAAAACTCGCAAGTGCATTTTGATTTCCCATTTTAAGGAAGAAGAAGAGCACCTGGATGGAAACACCTACAGTTTAATTCCTGGAGAACTGGTTGGAGGCGCCTAGGTGAACATACTCATATTCAAGGACAGGGCAACAAAAGGGTTTGCTTGCAGTTGCTTGGTTAAATTATGAGTAAAAGCAGAGAGAAATACTTTTGGCTGTTTCCCAGAGTGAAGAAAACCTGAACAAGGAATTGAGATGCTCAGCATTTCTAAAAGTCAGCGGGTAAATAAACTGACTTTCAAATCACGTTAGGACCTGGATTGGGGATGCTGTGTAATTCACTGCTCCCCCCCATCTGATGAAAAGGCTACTGAATACAAATGTCGCTGGGGAGCCACAGGCTCTCCTTTATTGTATTTTGGTTTTATTGTTCTTCCTATAGACGAAATCCATAGGGAACGCTGCAGGTAAATGTTGCCAACTATTTGAATGACTTCAAAGAAATAAGCTGAAATTTGCTATATAATTAATATTTTGGCAAATGAAGGAAGTCTTTAACACTCAGTGAGCCGAGTGTTCTTAAAACCAAATGCATGTCTGATGAAAGTTTCTTCAACTCACAGGCTGAAATTCTCAGAATTGCAAGAAATGCAAACCATCATTTAATTTTATATTTCAAGTTATTCTTGCTTTATGGAGAGACTATTTAGATAACAAAGAAGTCTACAACTTAATACTTGTAATCATTGCTAATTGTTATACCTTTTTGAACACGTCTGGTTTCTGTTATTCCTGTTGGAGGTAGGTTTGCACTAAAAGTTAAATCAGATTAGAAAATAATTTTTGTGGCATTTTGTAACATTTCATGGTTATTTATAAGCAATTTTTGCACAGGTTCATAGCTCTGATGTGTTTACAGGACACTGCAGTGTTATTTTCTTTGAAATTAATCTTCTACATACCCATTCATAATAAATAAAACAAATAATTTCATTAAAATGGACCCATCTGGTAAGAAATACTAAAAACATTGGATTCATTCTACCTTGCAAATGTTCTGTTTCAACCAATTTCACGTAAGTAATTTGTCCTCTTTTCAACATAATTAGCTACATTTTTTGATAACTTATAGGTATATACATAATAAAATTGTACCTATAAATAGTAGAACATAGATGCTTAAGTATTTTTCATTTAATTATTTTGTGAATATAATTTTTATTTCAATAGTACCCAACCAAAGATGCTTAAAACCCTATTATATTCATGAAAAATAATTGAGATGTTCAAATAGTGGTATTTCTTTGGATGCTGTTAAAGAAATTTCATTGTAGTCATATTTTTGTAAATATGATAGAATTTGTGAATATATTTTTAAAATTTTAAATGAATTCAACATGAGTATTATATTTGGTTACAACATTAATTTTATGAACTGAAGAGCTTCATTTTATGGATATATTTAAAATTCATACTGAAGCTGTTATTAACTTCTTTCCATGCTAGAAATAAAAGACTGGTTTTTAAGCACACTGCATTTTGGAATACTGAAAAAGAATGAAAACAATAGAAGTTAGGTTAGGTGGAAGACGGATTAAGAAGTCAACAATAAATAATGTATATCTGTAATATATAGTTGAACAATTCATTTTTCTGCTGGATTCAGCATAACTGTCCAAAAAGAAGCTCTTTGTCTTTTAAATAGCATATACTTTGCTTACGATGTTAATGGAAAATTGTGGTTAAAGGTGTTCCCCCAACTTGGAGAATTCTTACACTATATATGCTACCGTATTAACTATTGTAGTAGATTATTAGAATCCAATTAATGATTCAGTTAACATATATCTGGTCCAATTCATTATGTCGATTCATTAATAAAATGTCTTTAATGTAGTGCTTTTATTGTTGAAATAAACAAAATTGGGGAAATTAGAGAAATTGTGTGAAATTTTTACCAGAGTTCCTGTCTAAGATGAGAGGGTAAGACTTCAGTGCAACTGAAAAAGAAAAATACACCTCCACAGTTGGTCCTGCTCTCTCTCCATTCTGCACCT